GTTCACTATTCTGAAAGCAGCTGTGTTTATGGTGTCTATCTACAATATCGAAACGTATGTCATCCTGAGGCGTCATGAAGCTCCAGCAACATTGTCTCTGCAATATCTTTAAAGTACGATGATGCCACCGTGTCATGAACAAGCAGTGCTGTCGACCGTTTCTCTGAGAAATCTATCAGATGAGCTCAGAAATTATCGCTTGGTTTTCTCTGATAAAACTGCCCAAAAGCGAATGATGACATTTGAAAAACTTCGTTCTCTTGGAAACAGGTGGCTACTGGGCGACAACATGAAATATGGGAAACCTCGTTGAGGCAAACCTGCTATCGGAAAGAAATTTAATCTTCGACATAGTAGTGAGCTTTGTTTGAAATCAGTCTGAAATATCATTTCTGATGATCCGATATCATTAACCTCTATTAAACTTGACGAAGATGGCAAAGATAACCTATCAAGTTTTCAACTCTGACGCATCATGAGCTTGAATAGAACATCATAACAAATAATTAAGTTCTCCAGTTTAGAATTTATAGGGATTTAAGCTAATGATTTTTAGGCATGTTCTTTTGGAGATATTTATTCATTTTATCAGCTGCGATGCTGCATTTACTGTTCAGAATAATTTCCCTGAAACAGGCTTACGCCGGTAGCCAACAAAGATACATCTACCTAAAGGTACCTCCAATGTTGCTTTGACTGGATTCACAGGGAACAGGCTATTGACCATTGCTGGAGTGAATGGTAACAGAATATTAATAGCGATAAATGTGAATGAAGCCTGACGGCCATAGATGAGTTTCAGACAACTAAGTTTGAAACCTACTCATCCTGCATAACGGGAGCCAATACACCGACGAAATAGAATACCTGAGGATGGCACCAGGCGAACCTCATGTAACCAAATGTGAGTGTAATCCGTTACACCATGCAATGTTCAACGAGCTACACAGGCTGGGTGAATTTCATTTGACTAAATTTTGTTCCTGTTCGCCTTTTAACTGGCAAATCACTGCACCCTCCAACAGTAAGTGAAGCGGAAATTAAGCTGAACGAGTTCAAGCTGACCTGAAATATGTACTGGTAAGCCGCTGGACAACGCGAAGTCCAGTGAATTAACCATGAGGTGTACGAGTTCCAGTTCTCTATCCTTATTTTATTGGCAAGCAAGACTGAACGAATTGATAATCAAATCGGACGAGTTCCAGCGAAATTGTATGAGTAGAAGATTGGACGGGTTCCTGTTGACCTGGTTCAATTGTGGTTTGCCCTTTTATCAGTAGGTTTTTGTATGGTACAATGGGTGCTCAATGTCGGAATATAGCCAGACGAGTTCAACCTGTCCAAATCTAGTTGCTGACTGCTCCTTTATCATTAAGATCGTCGAATTGAGGATGGCGCTAGATGAGTTACAGGTAATTAGGTGTGTACGGTTTGTTGCGCCTTAAGTGTACACACAATCCAAGAATTCCCGCAATGGGGTTCTTTTGATTTCGATGTTCTTAAGAAGATGCAGTACTGCACCCAGACTGAAAATCTTTCTGATGTGGTGCTTAGCTGTTTCTATTGAACTAGTTGCAAAATGTAAGCAGTGGATTATTGTTCTGCATGATGTTTTACTGATTTCATAATTGAAAATATTTCATGATTATTTTGCTCAACAATCTTTTACGTTTGTTTACCATCACTCAGAAAATAAGTCACTCTTTGAGGAGGTCAAGTCTCATAGCACATGTACAGTCGATATGTTTAGCGGAGATAACAGTCAGCTGCATGTGCATCTGGGAAAATAGCAAATTGTTTGCCTACCACCGTCATGCACGCAAGGCCTTGTCCTCAGCGAGGTCATGATGAACACAACCGCAACACCCAGGTGAGATCGACGTTCCAGACCGTCACACCATTATTCTACTCTGATAGCTGCGAAATGATGACAGCTAAAAAACTGATCAATGACAAGTAACGAGTGGGGCCAAATGACCAATGACAATATTTGGATTACCTGCCAAATTAGACTTCACTCATTATCTGAACAAAACTCCATATAATCTGTTACTTATTGTGATATGGGCGTATTTTGAGGTTGTTCCTGGTTGTCAGAAACGAACGTGTCTGTAAGCTGTTAAAAGACAGTCATTAGTTAGGTTATTTTTATTGTAATTAGCTTCGAAGCCCAAATCATATCACCTGAGATTCGCTCAGTTTTAATGGCTATAAAATATCTTTCCTATAGCAACTACAGCAAAATATTTAAGCATATCTTTAATTAACAGAAATCCCAGTACACGTTTTGGGCACAAGAACAACAGTAATGAAACAATCGGAAATTGAATCGGTCATCGCAAAGCGACCGCGACCTTTATGGTCAGAAAAATGACAGCAGCATGCACTAAAAAAGCTGTGCCATCGAAAAGGCAATGCAAACATGTAAAAAACGAAACAAATAACACGTTAAATATACAATAGACGTAAACAATGACATGTCGTAAGCTTAATTCAAAGCTGCCATGGAGACACAGCGGTTGATCTGCTGGAGCGGACAGCACTTTTCTCCGTCTTCGCAGTCGGACGTGCTCAAGCAAGGCATGCCCCTTAGATGAGGTAGAACGATGGGCGGACAAAGCTTATCGCTGTTGTGTGATTCGGTGCGTTTTTTGCAGCAGAACGATTTTTTGCAGATGAAGCCTGAGGGACAACGACCCAGAACGCAGCTCGACTTTGGCGCTTCTCCATTTTTGCACACGTCTGAAACTCGTAAGGAAAATTTCAGACGAACCGTTCGATATATTTATATATTTCAGGTAAA